TGGGGCCTTTGATGGCATGCCCCACGTAACATTCCAAGGATGCTGTGGTAGGAAAGCATATTTGGCCATTCTCACCACTATCCACCAAAGCACCTTCTTCACCTCAACTGTAGACTTTCCTTAATTTTCCTTTTATTCCTCCTCTGTCTTTTGTTTCCAGTCCATTCATCTTCTACTCTCTGCACTCTTTGCCTTCTCCTTTGTATCTATTCTAGTCCTCCTTCAAGGACTAAACACATTTCCTATAAGCCTTTTGTACCCTTGGCTGAGATCTAAAGAAATTGCCAATCTCTGGTCAATCATATCTTGGAGAAAATATTTTTAAATTTATTTTAATAGTAATATGTATTTATAAAAATATTGAAATACAAAGGACATAAAATTTGAAGTCCAAATCATCCCCCATTTCCTATTACATTCCCCAGAGGTAACTACTGTTTACAAAATTTTCTTGGTTATCTCTTCATAATTGTTCTATGTATAAACAAATGATAGGTAAAAGTATATTATACACATTGTTTTAGCATTTGCTTTATTATTGTTTTACTATAACAATATAACTTGAATAATTTTCTACATCAGTCATTCTACTGAATGGATATACCATTAAATTGGGGAAACTTTAAAAGGAAAACAGATATAATCTAAACAAATTTTCTAATTTGCCTTGGACTACAACAAAGTTATGACAACTGACCCTGTTTCTTCATCTATAAAATAGAGAGAAGAATGGGTGTTTCTCACATTTTTCAAAAGGAAATTTTCAAAAGGAAATCTCTCGCCTTGTTGAAGCTACTAATTTTGAAATAAAAGATACAGTGATAATAAATGAGATCATTTTGAGATTAAAATAAGAGATAATGTAGAAACGATCAATTCTTTGAATCTCAGTAAATTCTAGAAAGTTCTATAAAACCATTAAATGAATTTTCTGTCTCAGATTAGATTGACAAGCAGAATCTACCCTTTTCTTGAATTGTTCCAAGCAAAGAAATCCCAAATTACCTTTGGTAACTTATTTGAAGCCTAAAAAAAACAAACACTAGAAGAATATTTTTAAACACCCAAATCACTGTATTCTGACACTTAAGCCTCATTTGACTTTATAAAAATGTTTTATTTCTTTTTAAAAATTACATTCTAGAAAAGTGCTGTCTCTCAAATATATCAGTAATTGTTCACAATGCTATAGTGCAGGTTGAAATCAACTGCTCTATGCTCGCGTTTAATTCCTTCTGCTTATAACTTTCAAAATTGACATTGAATACATTACAAATTCTGGAAGTAAAATATAGAATAAATGCATGAATTTGAAATGACAGAGTTAATTAAAATTCTTTACTGTTATTGACATGCACAATTTTATAGAAGCTTGGTTGAATAATATTTGCATGTGATTTACATTCAATTTTCCCATACTCAGTACTCGTTTTTGCATATAGTTTGCATGTATTTCAATGTATAGTAATTTCATACAGTTGGAGTTAGACTGCTAGATGGAAGGGAGTTCTTCAACTAAATAAATCTTGAAAGCAGTGGGCCCTGAGAGAGCTCAAGGCTGCTTGGTTCTTGGCTACCTATTGGGCAACAACATGGGCAAGTTTGCTGCAGGACACACCTTGATCAGACTGGCTCAGTCTCCTGCTCTGGGAGGAATATGAAGTTCTATCAAAGCCTGGTACCTTCCCTGAACACGATCCTGAAAGCACAGGGAGACGGTCAGAACCGCATACTTCTCTTTCAATTTTGACATCCGTAAATGTTTATAAACATTTTTATTTATTTATTTGATGAATAAAAATTATATATATTTATCATGTATAACTTGATGTTTCAAAATATGTAGACATTGTGGAAGGGCTCAATTGAGCTAATTAACATGTATCACCTCACATACCATTTTTTTGTGGTGAGAACTTCAAATCTACTCTCACACATTTTGAACTCTCTAGAGCTTTAGCTTGTGAAATCTCTTGGGAGAAAGGAATCCATTATGTATAGAAAATCAGACATGGGAAGCAAGAAGAGATTCTTTGAAATAACGCAGGAATTAAACATATTTCAGTATTTATTGAAATAAAGGGTGTATCTTGTTACTACCGGGAAATATTTACTGGGTTTACTGGGTTGGCTGATTTCTAGACATGAAAGAATCAAGGGTTGCTCTCTTTGCCTTCAGTGTTTGCCCAATTCTCCCATTTTTTGATGAGGAAAAAAAGGACTAGCTTAACTATGGGTTGGGGCATTCTGGCTAGGTTCTGAAATTCCATGTCATGTGCCAGAGCCCTGCAAGTTACTCTAGATGTTTCTTGCTGCTATTTAGGCCCAAACAACTAATTTTGGCCTCAGGGATCCCAGGTTTTTCTGGGGTGGAATTAACAGATTAATTATACTATAATTGTTCCTAAACAGAGGTATAGAATAAAACTTGTCTTCCAGAAAGACAAGGCTTGTGGCACACGGATGATCGATAAGGAGATAGTAAAGACTGGGAGAAGAGTAAAGAAGGGGTAGAAATAACAGAGCAGAGCTGATGGTTTGGGAAGGGTGAGATAGAATGAGGAATCCTGGTTGACTCTGAAGTCTGATCTGAGTGCAATGACCTCATTCACTGAGTTAGAAAAAGCATGAAGAGGAGCAGGTTTTAGCGCTGTGTTAACCTCATAGTGCCTGTGGGATAACCTATTGGAAATCCTCACTAGGCAGCTAATACATGGTGTAGAGCTCAGGACAGATACCTGGGCTGAAATTTTAAGTGGTGAAAAAAGTCATTCGAGTGAAGGAAGAATGTGCAGATAAACCCTCAGCGCTGAGCCAGTAGTTCAAGGACTAAGACTGCTACCATTTTACAATCTTCAAAAGCCTTAACTTCTGAAATGTTTTTGTCCATAAAGATTACAGCTCTTTGAGGATCCAACGGATTCACCCAAGTAGAGATTGCCAAGGCAAATGATTTCATAGACCAAGAAGCTACAAAAATAAGATAAAGAACTGGTTATAACAGGGATTAATTAAACTAGGGAAGGCATGTTCCGCCTAAGTCATTCAAGTTATTTTTTGTTTTATTATGTCTTTAAACACTGTTGGTGCCCAAGAAAAATACATCTACAAAGAAGATTAACCTGGCAGGCAGCCGGTTTGTACCTCCAGAGCCCTTCAAACCCTCCCTATACATAAACATATCCTGGCCCAAAATTTCTTGAAGAGCACTGACCTTAATACCTACTTCTATCTCCCTCAAAATCCAATGCAGTGACACAAAGAATGTTGTCTACCTCCTTTCTGTGGCAGTCATAAATTTTGAGATGTTGACAAGACACCTAAAGCATGGACAAAGAAGCTGAGAATGTTCCTGACCACTCATAGTAGGGTGAGACATACTTTCTTACTGACTGCAGACATGAAGGCTTTCTGCTAGTACCTCCTATGGGGCTATCTCCAGGACATCGTTATTTAAAATTCAGTAACAGAAGAGTGTGTTTCTGTCCTCTGTTCCAGCTCAACCACAGGACATCCCCTTAACCTTTTAGGAACCTTTACATTTCAGGAAAATATGAGAGCAATCTTTTTGAAAACTCTTCTCATTTCTGCTGTCTTTGCTTTTGTAATCTTATTTACTCTTGGAGCATAAGCTCTTCTGGATCCAGAGCCAAGGACACAGTCAAGCTGCTTAAGGTATCCTTCAGTTTGAACAGATATGAGCCCTGTACAAATATATGAATTAGGTGAAACTGCCTTTACCAAATTTATCAACATCAGTTTATCCTTTGTTCTGATCTCCATTACGATCCCTGGCACAGCCTAGAGAGGCTGTGTATGAGAGAATCTCTCCTCCCCTTGGTTGGACAGCTTTATGCATTATGTTCTCCAGAAAGAAGTTCTTTGCTAAAGGAGTTAGTTGGTCACTTGGTTATCTCCAGTCTCCCAATACAGTTCTCTTCTAGCTGAAAATTTGACCCAGCTCATAACAGAGAGAACCACTGAAAGATATAACTGTGGTCCGTAGAAAATTTATTTCCCCAAATTTGGTATTTTTGCATATTTGACCTTAACTAAACTCTCAGCAAAGCCTTGAAAATATCAATTTTCATGTGTAAATAGTCATGAGGTGCAAACTTGATATGCTCACACTACTGTGGGCTCCCAATAATGACTGAATTTAAACCATGAAATAAAATCCAGCTGCAAAAACCAGGAAGTTGCCTTGTGGTTAGAAGGTAAGCTTTGACAGGTCAGTCAGCAGGGTGTTCTCCTGTCCTCCAAATATCCTACAGGATAAAGAAATGTTTTTCTATAATGCAGTAGAATTAAGTGTAGCTGACCAGACCTTTTCATGATTCCTTCCATAAAAGAAGCCCAAAGCTGGCCGCGGATGGTGGCTCATACCTGTAATCCTAGCACTTTGGGAGGCCAAGGTGGGAGGATTTCTTGAGGCCAGAAGTTTGAGACCAGCCTGGGAAACATAGCGAAACCACTGTCTCTATAAAAAATTTTGTAAAAAATTAGCATGGTGGTATGCACCTGTAGTCCTAGCTACTTGGGTGACTGAGTTGGGAGACTCACTTGAGCCCAGGAGTTTGAGGTTGCAGCGAGCTACGATATGCTACTGCACTCCAGCCTAGGTGACAGATGGAGACCTTGTCTAAAAAACAAAACAAAACAAAATAAAAAAGATCCCATTGTGGATAATCATCCCAGAGGACACTTAATAATAACTCCTGCTGGTATAAATCAGTATTACACCATTATCAAGTTGGCAAACTCAGGAATATAAACTGGCTTAAATTAAAAACAAGTGGAAAATTAACAAGTGTTTGATAACCTATTATTTGCCTGACATTAGACCAGGATCAGTGATAGATACAAAAGGCGTATCAGACACTCTTAGTCTACAAGCATTTATGTGACTCTCTTCCATTTTAAAGCTGAAAAAGGGATTCAGAATCCATATTCTCCCTGCTTAGTTGTCCCTGCAGGTCAGGTCTTACCTCCCCTACTTATTATCCAGAAATAGTTTGAATATTCTGCCTTTCAGCCCAAATGTCCACACCAGTCCCTGACCCCAGCTGCTCCTGCATAGTTTCTGGGTGTACTGAATTAAGGCAGAATGCCTCAGTGCCCCCACAGGTGGATTTCTTCTCTTGGAAAAGCCCCAAGCTGCCACTTTCCTTGCTCAGCCGACTCTGCCCCGGCAACTTCTGCCTCTCTTGTCTGAGGTCTGGGCACAGCAGCAGCAGCTGACCATGGCCTGCCAGCTGGTATCTGAGCAACTGCTCTTGGGCATCCTTCCAGTTCCCAGTCTCCTGCAGGTACGTCTGCTGAGCAGGAGAGCCCAGAGCACAGGTGTGCCCATGGGACGTGGTGCTGCTAATACTGGGAGCGGGCACAGCAGCCTCTTCTGGGACGGCGTGGCGGCTGACCTTCCTTCTGCACACTCCGTTCCGCGACTGGTAGGAGAGCTGGCTCAGCTTGCCCGCCATGACCGCCATCCTCACACCTGTGAAGAAAAGAAGTAGAGGAAGAATATGGATTTTATTCTCAATCAGTTGATCACACATTTTGCATATTTAGCATTCCTGATAAGATACTGTCAAATAATTAAAGATTGAATAATATCAGCTTATCAATTTCCAAATATCTTTGGATATGTATTTTTCCTTTAAAAAGCACTAAAATAGTATCCTATGCCCAATTGGTAATTAATACTAAATATCTAATACAAGTTTGATAATACTGCTTCATAGAAAAGCACTTTTATAACATTGATAAGCCAACAAGGATTTTTCATTATAAACACAAGGCTAAAACATGAAAACCAGACCACCCTCAGGCCTCACCAGTGGGCCAGCTCACACCTATGTTAAGAAATGTGAACTCTAAAGACCATTTTTATTTAATACTTTGGCTTTCATGACAGATGCACAATGTAAATACTTTTGATTTTATAAAAACATGGATATAATATGTAGAGATAATATAAATATATGAATAAACATCTATATATGAGTGGTACATGTATGATTATGTAATATTAGAAAGACAAAAGGCACAATGAACTGAATTTGCAAAACTAGCGTTCAAGTTCCCTTTCTCCTGCTAGCTGGCTTTGTGACTTTTGTCCTGTCAGCCTCTTTTTGAGTTTCAGTTGTATAATTTTATTTTATTCTCAGTTGTTACTTAACGATTTACTAAACTGTACTTCATTTTAGCAATCTTGTTTTAATTGTTTTCTTTTCTTGGCATTTCATTTGTATTTTATTTTTCTATTAAACAGAATTAAAAATAAACTTGAAAGAATACAACACTGGTAAATCAGTGATCTAGGTACCGCACGATATTGTGCAGGTAAAGATAGCAATGAGGAGGTAAGCAGCATGTTTGGTGGGATACATGCATGAGAGTGTATCATGCCCACAGAGGTCACCTGTCATGTGCCTTACAGTAAAAGAAAAGGTGGAAACCTGTCCTAAACCCCTGAGGCATAGGTGGAAATATTGTCATCTATATTTACTGTCCCTGCTTTTCTCACATCTCACCACCAAATTCATTGACCACCCTTTTATATACAATGTAGATGCTAATTTATTAACCTGCGTATTATGCTTTTCTCCCAAGTTATTGAAAGCTGTCTTGGTTTGTGATAAGAGACAGTAATCATGTTGATATCAAACCACAAGAGATAGTATTGGGGTAAAAAAAATACCAATTTCCTACTTCAATTTAATCTAACAATGGATGGAAAATGAGGTGAGGACGAGAGAAGGTAATAACATAAATATATGTAAAATGCTTTTGATTTGGAGCAGTGAAATGAGATAGAGTAATCATGTTCATACTGTTTCCATGATGTGTTGATTAATATTATGATAAACCCGTGTTATTCATATCTTCTCTCTTCTTTCCCAGTCATTTTGCTCAGTGTGTATCTTCCACGGCCTCCTAGCTGTGGGATGATTCTCTGGCTTAGGGCTATGAGAATTTTCAGGTTACTTAGTTTTGCTGTGAGATCTGCAACTCCTTCCAGAAGTGTTTCTTGACAGCTCAAACTACATTGATTTATGCCTCAATACTTGTTGACTGGAGTTTCTCTCTTGACCTGTGCAGCTGCTTCTATTATTGGTCACCTTTCCTTGTGTGACAGTCTCATCTTCCTCCTAGGACTTTGAGTTCCTTCAGGGAAGGAATTCTTTTGCGCCGTCAACCTTGTCCCCTCATTATGCCCAGACCTATGCCAAGCACTGAGCTTGGTATCATCTCCATAATTACTGTTTCCACCAGGAGGAAAAAACATAGTTTATCACAATCAGCAAATAACCAAAGAACAAGAATAATAAATTGTCAAGTAGAAGCAAACTTTAAAAAGGTAAAAAGGCTTTGAATTTTAATCCCTTGGTAAAACCAATAGCACTTCATATAAGAGGAATCAAACACGGCGAGTCACCTATTTTCAATCCATTGAAGATATTGTTATCCTGTTTTTGAGAGACCTTCATTGGAAATCTTTTCCCCCTTGTTCTTCGAGTCTGCATCTATTCATGAAAGACTAACACAAGCATAGCTTTCCTTTGTAGACCCAAAAACATTTAAAAATCTCCCATGAATTATTTACATGGCAGCTCCAATCAGCAACATACCTGACAGACTCCCCAGCTGAAATGAAAGTTCACTGTGTAAAGGTGCCCAGGGAGGCTGGCCGCCTCCCACTGCGAGGTTATAGACAGAACTAAGTCAGCACACATTATATGTCAGTGCTGACATCAGAAGGAATCAAATCCTTTGATCTCAGACCTCCACAGGAAGCTTAGATCTCAGACAAATTAGATAAAAAATGAATTTATAGCAGATATGTGTCCTAAGGCATTCAGCTGAATGTTTGGGTTTTAGGGAAGGAAGGATAGTGAGTTTCAAAACATACGAATTGGCAGGCCTCCTCTCCACCTCCGCCTTGGTGATGAGTCCCCATTAACATGGAAAGATGGGATTGTAAATCATCCCTCCATGCTCGTTAAGAGTCCCACTGGTAGATTTGATCAAGTGTTAGAAAAAAATGGGATAAAATATGGGGAACATATGTACCTTCTCTACAGAAAGGGGAACTCATTGGTTTTGGGTCCCTCTAGGTCCACGCCAGTTATATCTTTCCCAGCTATCTTTAACCTCTTTTGATTTCCAAAACTTTCTTGAGCAACAAATATATGCTGTGCCAGTGACTTTAAAAATTTGTGTGGATACTAGTCACTGGCTTCTTTTGCAATGAAAACATTAACAATGAATTTCCCCTCTTCTCCTACCTCCCCCTATCCTGTTCATAATTTCCCAGCCCAGTTCCATGTGCAGCATCTAGCAGTCAGGTTACCTGGATTCAGTACATAGGTCTTATATAATTGCCTGGACCTTTGAGCCTAAACAAGGTATGAAGCAGAGAGATGCACAACTGATCAGCCAACGGAAAGAAT